TTTCGGGTCTGGACCCTTCTTCAGAAATCATTTCTGAAGAAGGGTCCAGACCCGAAACGTCAGCTTTCCTGCTCCTCTGATGCTGCTTGGCCTGCTGTGTTCATCCAGCTCTACACCTTGTTATCTCAGATTCTCCAGCATCGGCAGTTCCTACTATCTCTAAAGTCACTTGAAGCCATTTTGCTTGTAAATGTTTTTGCTTTTCTTTGTCTCATGGCTACTTTGGTTGGATACTTGTTAAGGAGTCTCTGAGGTAGAACCTGATGGGTCTTAAACTATAACACTAGTACAGAACACATATAGTGGAAGATAATGCCTTGTCAGAATCATTGAACCACATGTGAGTAATGGCTGCCAGGCAAATAGTAATGAAGCTGATTAATAATAGGATTGCCTGCCTGTTATCTTTTAAAGAGGTTGTGTGACATTTTGGTGGATAATGCTTCAATTAACAACTTCCTCATTATTGCAACCAGCTACATGGCAATAAGAAAATTGTTGTTGATTTTGAGCATTACTAATAAAAAAATGAAATTTTCAAATGTTGCTGAAGAGCCGTTATGCAGCATGTTCCAAACCCACAACCACTGCCAACTAAAGAGCAAAGGCAGCACATATATGGGAACGCCACCACCTGCAAGTTCCCCTCCAAGCCACTCACCATCCTTACTTGGAAATATATCGTTGTTCCTTCAGTGTCACTGGGTCACTATGCTGGAACTCCCTTCCTCGTGGCATTGGATTGCAATAGTTCAAGAAGGCAGTTCACCATCATCTTTTTAAGGGCAACTAGAGATGGGAAATAAAGCATGAGTAACTTGCTTGTTTTAAGAATCTGAGCTTTACCAAGGAGGTCATCACAAATATCTATGGCTGTGTAGAATTAAATGTCAGAGGGGGCAGCAAAGTCTTTGTGGTCAAGGTTGCAACAGCACTTCATTTTTATGCCACTGAAAACATTGAGACTGCCACAGGTGATAGAAGTCAGAGGCCAAATCTAACACTTGTTTTGGCGAAGTGTAGTTTTATTGAGTTTCGTGGAGGATTTCTTGCTGTATCTTACTAAACTTAGCTCATAAACTATGAACCCCGCCTCTCTGGCACCCTCTCGCCTGATTCTAGTCCATCTCGTCACTTGCTATTCAGGAAGAACATGTCATGCATTGGATATGTGCTGAAAGACCAACATGCCTAGCAACTGTACCTTATCTAGGTGCAAAGCACTCTTTTAAATAAGCATGAGCATTTTGAAGCTGCCCTGCTCAGTGACAGACGTCCATTCAAAAGTTGCTGGAGAAGTGGAAAATGGCACTGAGATTCTCCAACAGGCACAGAAGATGAGGTGGAGTATCCTTATCCCAGATGACCAGCAGAGGAGCCCACACCATCAGCTTCTGAACTAAGGTTGCCTCTCAGTTCTGTTCAGTGTCCATGGCCTGGAGGAATGGCTAGCAATGTCACAAGAAGTTCAGTGACGTTCATAACTCCACCGGGGCAGTGTCACATTCTTCTCTGTGCCAGCTCACTCTTATTCTATGTCTGCCACTGTACTTAACTCCCACCAAGGCTCATGCTCTGCTGCTCTCACTATTGCATACGACATCTTTCTTTACTCTCTCTCAACTTCCCAGCATGGCCTCTGCATTGCCTCCTCACTCACCTAAGACACCTCATCATCTTTCAAACCTTTGTACCAGTACTTGTTTTGCCCATTTTCATCTCACTCAATCTGTCCCTTTCTCTGATTCCAGGAAGAGGCAGCCCACAGTTGGGCAGAACGGGCCGAGAGGGATGCTCATCATCAATCTCCTCACCCACCATGGGAAGAAAATTCTGCCCCTTGCAGGAGAAGATTGGGACAACGTGTCTGCTAGCAGAGTAAGTACCATTCTTCATTCCTCTGCAACTCTCACAGTAACACTGCTGTCAGCAACAGTCATTGCACACCACTTCTAACCATTGACTGCGATGTTTCTCTCCTTTGTGTCTTGCAGGATTTTCATGGTCCTGGTAGAGAAAGGGGCCGCTCTGCCAGAAACCACCTCCTTGATCTACGAGGAAGAGGTTTGAGATCTTGGAGGAAGAATTGGCAAGGCTGGCTCCTACACCTATCCCCTAACCAGCTCCTACTGACAGCTCAGTGGGAATGTCATGTTTAAAAAGTCTGGGAGCACAAGTTGTTATGCACTGCACCGCGTCAACTCCTCAGCATGCTGACGAAGAGGCGCCCCAGGCCGTTGGGAACTCCATTCACTAGCATAGGGAGGAAAAGGAGCAGCAGACAGATTTGTGGTTGGCGATGGCAAGAGGTTGCAGAATTTCAGCTATGCTGTGGAAATCCAGCTGCTTCAAGCTTGTGTTCTCTGGCTGTATCCATGGGCAGGTTTGCAGCTGCCATGGAGAGCCAGTTCCAACACCCACAGTGTCTGCTGGAGAGTGCACACACCAGCATTGCATTGTCCCAATCATTGGTCATCAGGCAACAGGAGGATCGGAGCTTGGCTCACATTTCAGGTGCCTCTTCTTCAGAAGGAGACAGAATTTTGCCACGAGGACCCAGCCAGCAGTGGAACTACACATTTGCCCCAGGAGTCGCCTCAAGAGCACTCCATATTTGGTCACGCCCTCCACCTCCACCCTTCCTCACTCTTTCCCAACGCATAAGAGTTCAAGTTGATGAGGGTCTGTTTGCTTCTGGCAAGTCTGGGCTATCGGGCACAGACACGCTCCAGGTATCTGGTGAAACCTCCAAGGCCATTGGGCTTCACTGCTGGAGTGTAGACGGGAAGATGGAGCTGAGACCACATCAGATCAGTCATGATCTTACTAAAGGCTCAAAGTACAAAATGGCCTACCCTTCTTTGTAAGTCCTCTTTTCCTATGTGACAAAGAATACTCTGCTGTCATTGCTCACGACTTCCTTCAGCAGAACTCAACAGTTCTGGCAGTATCTGTTGAGAGAAACATAGTTGATGTTTACTGTCCAGTGAGCCTTCATCACCCCATCCCCTAATCAGAGGCATTCTGACGACTTCCCTCAGTTGAACTCAGCAGGTCTGACAGCATCTGTGAAGAAGAAATCAGAGTTAATGGTTCGGGTCCAGTTCTGAGGAAGGGTCACTGGACCCGAAACATTAACTCTGCAGTTCTTTCGGTTTTTAACTTAGTGTTAGATTTAGATATCCTGACCACAACAAAGAGGAATTCTAGGTGCCGTCTAATTGAAGAGCACTTTTGAGACATATCCTCAACCATTAGACTGGTTGGCAATGCCATGTGCTTTCCCTTTCAAGACTGAAGATCCACCAGAAAGTTCACTACTCTCATTCATTTCAAAGGCTTCCTTTTAAAGATCACAATCAAAATGACCACCAGTTCCACCACTCTCCATTTGTCATATTTGGTCTTTTATCTGCAGTCATAGTACAGTAATCAGAAAAATGACAACCAGCAAATATGAAACTTTTTTGTACTGGTATTTAACCTTAACAGGTTTCTTTTCGATTTTGAATCAGTCTGTTCAGAGAAGATATTACACACCTCTGGAGCAGGTGGGACTTCAAACTGGGCCTCTGGTCCAGGACTAGGGACAATACTACTATGCCACAAGAACCTTAATAGCTATCCTACTCAGCTGCAGCTGCGAAGTGCAGTCTCAGTGGTAGGTGAATTGGATGGCTGCTGAGATTCTGAATATAACGGCTTAAAAGTCGCCTTAAATCTAAAAGGTTTTGGGTCATGATGGTCCTGCCTTAGGCTGAATCATCTCAGCATAGATTGAACAGTCTGGAAAAATAGCTTACCGAGCAAGGCAGTGATCAGTTGGTGGGGAGGAAAAAATAATGCTGACATTCACAGATAAATCAGAGGGTTCCAGCTCTGTGATTCTTACACTATCGTCAAGGATTGGGTTCAGCCAACTCAAGGATCAGAAAGCTGTCACAGTAGTTGCATAAGTTTCCATTTGTGTACCTTGCTGTTCCGTAGAAATTGCAATGACTTTGCAATGCAGAGTAAAGTTCTGACCTCGCTCCACAGATTTTTTTAACCTGGAATTGGCCAGCCTCTTCTGTATAGAAACGATGGTTTCAGGCTGTGTGAAATCACAACCCAAGGCAAAAGTGCACTCTTACGTCCTTAGCCAGACCCCATAATCATTGAAGCAGATTATCCATTGAACCAAGTGTTTGATCGTCTCCCACATTATCCTGCTTCTGAAAGTTGTTTCTGTGGTTTTCTCCCTCATTTGACTTCTGCATAGAATTGGTTTGCAACCTTGTCCTCTCTAGCCCAGAAAGGTTCTATCTGTGGTCTCTCTTCCAACTGGATGTTGCTGCTCACATGTGCTGTATGCATCACTGTGCCCATCTACTACCTGTTTGTACAATTCAACAAATTACCCGACTTCCTCACTCTCCTTGGGACTTTTTGGTCCTTATGTCAGAAAAGAATACTGTCTTCATGGTTTCCCTTTTCAACAACACATGAATGTAACCTTTTGATTATGTTTGGAGACAGCACTCAGTATTTGTTTTGTTCATTTAATGTTTTTTAGTGAAACATATTACCTATGGAAATGCAACTTTACCACAGAAATGTTACAATTGATGAACTTCAAACAACAAGAATTAATTTTCAAATTATTGAAATAGTCTGTTCCTCAGTTAGAATACAACTCTACCTCCCTCAGCCCCCTTCTAAAATTGGAACTTGCAGTTATTCATCTCATAACTATGTACAGAATGTCACTGTGTGCAATTAGGTTGTTGTGCATTTTTACATAACAGCAATTGCTTTCCTTGATAGTGAAGTGAAGTGATTATGCTTAATAAATACCATTTTTTTATCATCTGAACAATTATAACTGTATTGTAGTTCTTAACGTGTGATATTTTTTCACCACCGGAAAGTTTGAACATCTCTATTTGAGGCGCATTAAAATCCAAACTCTTGTGCAAATTTTATTATTTGTATTGGTTGTTTCTAAAACCTGTGAATACAAATTGTTGGTGAAGTAGTTTTTCTTATGTATCTTTATGGGAGAAGACTTCAGATCTTAAATCTATTATATTAAAAATAACAATTTGTATTGGAAAATTTGACCTTCTGTAAGCCATTTACAAGAACAGTGCTAATGAGATTTTGTCAAAGAAAAATGAGATGCTTGATGTACTCAGCTGCTGTTTACTTAACAATTCCAATTCATCAGTAACTGGATGAATCTGCGTGATGCAGAAACCGGAAAAGTTTTATGGCAAGGCACAGAAGATCTCTCGTTACCTGGAGTGGAGCATGAAGGTACTTTAATCATATGTTTCATATCCAAGTGAACAGATTACTGTTAATATTGCAAGTGGAAAATCTAAACTGTGTTTTAAATCAGAAACATGGCGAGTTCCTGTGGAAGTCTTAGGACTGAGAGCAATCTAGAATTCAGCAAAAGAGGATAAAAAAAGATTGATCAGGAAGGAGAAAATAGAACATGAGAGTAAACCTGCAAGGATCATTAATAAAAAGACAGTAAAAGTTTCTAAAAATGTGAAGAAAAGTTTGGTGAAGACAAATGTAGGTCCTTTACAGCCAAAAATGGGAGAAATTATAAAGGGCAAAAAAGAACTGGCAGAAGAATTGAACACAGTTTGTTCTGCCTTCACAAAAGAGAACACATAATTTCCTGGAAAGTTTAGGGAACCAAGAGTCTAGTGTGACAGAGAATTTGAAGAAAATCAGTATTAGTGAAAAGAAAGGTGCTGACAACTTAATGGGGTTAAAGGCTGACAAATCCCCAAAGTCTGACAATTTGTACCCCAGATTACTAAAGGAAGTGCCCCTGGAAATATTTGATGTATTGGTTGCCACTTTCCAAAATTCTACGGACTCTGGAGCAGAGAGGACTGTGACAAATGTAACTCCACAATTTAAAAAGGGAGGGACTGGGAAAAAAAAGAGAAATACGGACCAGCTAACCTAATGTCAGAAGTGGGGAAATACTGGTCTATTGTAAAACACTTGGAAAACATTAACAGGATTAGACAAAGTCACCGTGGGTTGATGACAGGGAAATCCTGCTTTACGAATCTACTGGGGTATTTTTGAGGATGTAACCAGAAGACATACTTGATGTAGGGAGGATATCATCGATGGTTTAGGAGTCTAGAAGCTGGGGTCACAGACTCAGGATGCAGATTAGGCCATTTAGGACTGGGATGAGGAAAAGTTAATTCACTTACAGAGTGGTCAACTTGTGGAACTCTGGTTAGATCAGGAGAACCAGTGGATGTGGGTGTATTTGGATTTTTAGACGACTTGATAAGTTTCCACGTAAAAGGGTAATGAACAGAATAAAAACATATTGGATTTTAGGTAAATATACTGATATGGATTGGGAATAGATTCTCACAGATGGGAACAGCGTAGGAAGAAATGGGTGTTTTTCTGGGTGGCAGAACCAGTGGTTTACTGTAGGGGTCAGTGCTTGGGCTGCAGCTATTCATGATTTAAATAAATGATTTGGATGAGGGAACCAAATGCATTACTTCCAATTTTGCTGAACACCGAACTAAGTAAGATTTTGGGTTGAGGAGGATGTGAGGAGGTATTGGGCGATATCGACAATTTGAGTATATGGGCAAAAATGGCAGATGCATTATACCAAGGCCTAAATGTGAAGTTATACACTTTTGTTTGAAAAGCAGCAAGACAGTATTCTTTAAATGGTAATATGTTAAGAAATGTGGATGTTCTTGTATACTAGTCAATGCAAATAAACAGGAGGGTGCAGCAAGCAATTAAGAAGACAAGTGGTTTGCTGGCTTTCATTGCATAAGGATTTTAACTAAGTAGTAATGTCTTACTGGAGTTATACAGGCCCTTGGTAAGACCCCGCCTGGAGTGCAGTTTTGGTCTACCCTACCTCAGGGAGAATAGACTTGCTATAGAGGGAATGCAGCAGATGTTCTGTAGGCTGATGACCGGGGTGGGCAGGACTGTAATATGAGGAGAAATCCGTTCAATTGAGACTGTATTCACTAGAATAGAAGAATGAAAGGGGATCTGATTGAAGCATATAAAGTTCTAACAGATAGACATACTTGATGTAGGGAGGATATCATCGATGGTTTAGAAGTCTAGAAGCTGGGGTCACAGACTCAGGATACAGATTAGGCCATTTAGGACTGAGATGAGGAAAAGTTAATTCACTTAGAGTGGTCAACTTGTGGAACTCACTACCACAGAAGGCAGTGGAGGCCACATCATTGAATTTATTCAAGAAAATGATTGATAAATTTTTAGATATTAAAAGGGGCATCAAGGGGTTTCAAGGGAAAACAGGAATTTGCCGCTGAGATAGAGAATCAGCTACAATCATATTGAATGGGGCTGCAGGATCAAAGGGCTGAATCATTACTCCTCCTGGTTTCAGCTTCTCACCTTTTCCTGACCCTCCCATTTGTTCCACTGGCATCTCCCCATTTTTCTGTACAGCATAAAGCCCGTCACATTTCTCCTCAGTTTGAAAATGGACTTGAAATGTTAAAATGAAGTGTTTCTATCTCTACAGAAGTTGCCAGAACTTTTGAGTTTCTCCAGAACTTATGTTCTTATTTATATTCACCTCCTGCACTTGAGTGGCCTATTGTACTGTTGTCTCATAGACAGTTTACTAATACGTCCCTGCAGACTCTTCATTTATATAGGCAACAACGACTTCTTACTTGTTGAAATTGGGTGAAGGCTGAGGCTCCTCGGTACTGCACCTGGAGTTCCCTTATAAGCCTGGTTCTGAATAAAATTCCCTGTTCCTGACTGCTAAACAGACATGTATGACTTCCTAACCCAAAGAGTGTAACTACCTCCTGAATTTCCACTTAAACATCAGCCATTCCTCTTAAATATTTTATCTTTTAGAAAATTCTTGATTTCTGTGTGATTTATGCATCTTTGTACAGACTGATATATTTACATGCTACTGTTGCATTGGGTTAGAGCTGAGTGATTCTAGAATTATTGCTTTCTTCTGGATTTTGTGTGAACTTTAACAGGCAGGTTTTAAGGGAGTACTAATACCTGCGGAGCAGCCACAAACGTTTCTGACATTATAGACATACTTTCAGTACCTAACCCTAAAACCCGATTGTGCATACCTTGGATGAATAATCACTAATGAGAAGCAGTATCTGGGGATATTCTGTATGATCCCCAGTATAAGGATTTCATACCTTGTTACAAAACTGGAAAGATTTCAAATATAAGCCATATAATTTAAGAATCTTGAGAATGCACATAGTCATAGGGTCATGTAGCATGGAGGCAGACCCTTTGGTCTAACCAGTCCATGCAACCATAATCCCAAATTAGACTAATCCCACCTGTCTGCATTTGCCTCACATTGCTCCAATCCTTTCTTTTTCAAGTACTTAGCTAAATGTCTTTTAAACATTGTAACTGTAGCCGCGTCCACCATTTGCTCTGGAAGTTCGTTCCACACATGAATCACTCTCACCTAGAAGGAACAAGGTAGAAAGCATTGTATAAACAAGGAGAGGAAGACCATCATGAGAGGAATATGGCAGGAAATATTGAGATATTAACAAATTGTTTCTTGGTCAGGTCATTTGTTCAGTAGTTTTCTATTGGAGTGGTATGCCTTAGAATATCTTTTTTTTAATTAAATAATGAAATGGGATGCTTCTGTTTTCTTGGTAGAAAAATTGAGATAGACAGGTTTATCTTGGTAATTAACTTGTGAATCTCTGATAGCTGGAAGAAATGTACATATTGTGTATGAGACAATGAGCAGCAAGAAATTTATAAGAATTGTTTAAGCAGGATTATGTGATTGAATGATCAAGTACTGCATGCACGTATACTTGTTTGATTTGATTACATGGGAACACAAGTAGGCCATTCACCCATTGAGCCTATGCTGCTATTTAATTAGATCGTGGCTGATCTGTGACCTAACTCCATATACCTGCCTTTGGCCCATATCCCTTAATACCTTTGCTTAACAAATTTATTTCTTTCAGGTTTAAAATTAACAACTGATCCTGTGCCCACTGCCATTTGTGGAAGAGAGTTCCAAACACCTCCCATCCTTTAGTGTAGAAGTGCTTCCTGACTTTTCTCCTGAATTGCCTGTCCCTAATTCTCAGACTGTACCCTCTAATTCTAGAATCTCCAATCAGTGGAAATACCTAATCGTTATCTATTCTGCCTTTTCCTGTTAATATCTTGAAGACTTCAATCAGATCACCCCTTAACCTACCCTACCATAAAGAAAGGTCTGGAGCACAATCTTCTGGGCCCTAGTGCAGACCAAGTAGCATTAGGAAAGATGGTGACCTAAACCCTACTGGTGCTGTTGTGGTGCAGTGGTAGTATTACTGCCTCTGGACCAGGAGACTCAGGTTCAAATCCCACCTGCTCCTGAGGTATGCCTCTCAACAGGCTAACTGGAAAATATATACCAAAACCCCAACACCTCCTTGTCTTTGCCTTAATTAAGTTCTGGGTGGGAAGACCCAAGCTTAATCTTCCTGCCCTGCTCCACTTGAGAACTATAAGTAGTCAATTAACCACTTAAATTCCATATACTGCCAGGCCTGCTATTTCTGCTCCAAGTGAGACCACAAGACCCAGATTCAAGTCCCACATACTCCAGAAGTGTGCAATAGCCGGTGTGGGCAGCTTGTTGATTTTTGGGGTCAAGGAGATGTGCTCGATCGGCAATGATTTATAAATGACAGAGGTTATGGCTGTTGAGAGCTGCCATTCTGCCCTTGCCCATTCTGCCCTTGCTTCTGACCACGCTGACCCGTATCCACAATTTGAACCAACCCGTAGGTGATGAGATGGCTCAGTGGTTAGCAGTGTTGCCTCACAGCGCCAGGGGTCCAAGTTTGATTCTGTCCTTGGGTGGCCGTCTGAGTGGAGTTTGCACATTTTTCCTGTATCTGTGTGGGTACCTGCCAGGTGCTCCAGTTTGGTCCTACAGTCCCAAAGATGTGCAGGGTAGGTGGATTGGCTATGCTAAATTGCCCTGTAGTATCTAGGGATGTGCAAGCTAGGTGGATTAGCTATGGTAAATGCGGGGTTATAGGGATAAGGGGACAGGTTGGGTCTGGGTGGGATGCTCGTAGGATGGTTGGTGCAGAGACGATGGGCTGAATGGCATTGTAGGGATTCTATGATTCCATAAACCCACCCCACTGCCCTTAACCAGCACTTTCTTGTTAGCGATCCTTCATCCTGGAAGTTGAGGGGATGTTTTTCTTGCAGCATTACAGCAGTGATCT